GCAAATTATTCCGCGTCGTGGTTCAAAGTACCAGCCCGGAAATTTGTTATACTTTAATTTTGGCAAAAATTATAATTTAATTAAATTTAGCAGCTGATTATATTTTTATAGAGTATGAGATTAGTTATAAGAAACGAATTTCTTTCCAAAGATAAATCTCCAGGTATGGAAGTTAGAATGGAATATGCTTATACAGGAACCGTTAAAGAATCGTTGAAGCTTTTATTTCCTGAAATTCAAATAATTTTGTTGTTTTGTTGCCGATCATTTATAATGTTGTCGCTTTACCGTTAAAATATTTTTTTTCTTATTTTTTTTTTTTTAAAGAGAAAAAGGAAATGAAATGAACAATATGTCATAGCAAATTGTTAAAATATCAAGTGAAAAAAGCAGAAAAAGTGGAGTTTGGTTGTAATTTAATAATTTATTGACACAACAGTAGTTAGTTTTTATTTGCAATGAAAATTTGTAAAATATATACCGTATATATTACTATTTTTTGTAATAAAAATAATATGATTGAATTATTAAAAGAATTTCACATCACCAATTAGCATAAATTATCAAGTTGTCATGTTATTAATTTTGAGCCGAGCCGGGCTTCAAAATTTGGATTTATGCAGGTTTCTAACATGAACAATTTAAGTCGAAGAAAGTTATCAAATTTAAGTTTACATATCAATATTTCTCCTTGAATAAATACTGACTTGACCATTGAGTCTCAGGAAAGCAATTTATTGTTTATGTGTTAAAATTTAGCAAATAACAATATTTTATTGGCAAAACTGCGTATTCGAAGTTAGATATCGCCAAAACACTAGATATGGACAATTTATATCCTTCGTCCGAAATCGTATGTAAACGTAAAACTAGTAATACAAACTTGGAAAAACATGAGAAGAAATAGTATTTATAATGCAAGGAACAGTTTTTATAGATTGGATTTATAAGTGACAGGTAATTCATAATCTTTAATTTCAGTTACTTTAAAAGCTATGTATATCTTAACGCGAATCAGTGCGTTCCAATTCACTTGCCATTATCTGGCCGTAACTTGAATTAGATGATTGAACTTAATTTCGTTAGCCCAACATGTTCAATATGATTAGCTTCTTCATTCTTCTCAATGCTGATATTTAAGAATTATTAACCATTTGTTGTACCAAATGTAAAAGATTTTCATTATTATCTGCTTGAAAACCTACCTTCTTTGAAGAGATTAATAATCTTAGTAGTCAACAACACTTCGTAACACTATCACTTGTACCAATGATAGTTGCTTAAATACATTTGTTACATGATATTATCTGTTGAGAATCATCTTTTATTTGAAGTCCTAGATTTATGTGATTTAATGTGTTTTGAAACTTGAATTTTAAGATAACTTCCCATATAAGTACAACATGTTATTCCATAACATTGTACATCCCTTTTTCTATAATGCAATATAATACATTAAGATAATTTTTATTCTAGATATAAAACTCTACAACTTGGTAATATTAGTTGATTCTTCTCTTACAGCGAGGTGTGTATTAGTATTGATGAATGTGATTTTTAAATCTGATAATTCCAAGCAAATGCTTTAACTACTGCGGGTTTGCAATTGTATTTAAGCTTTAGCTTATATTTGCTTAATGAATATACCTGCTGTAATAACTTTCAACGGTTATTTATACGCTTTCACTAATTTTTATTTATCAGCACTTCAAAAAAACTTAGCTTCTTAACTACCATTGCCGATGATTTTTTTTTGATCTTAATCTCTCATCTCTTTCTATTCATGCAACTAATTTTTAGGCTTCAGAAATTCGTTCATCGGCTTGATGGAATTCTCAATACTTCAAATGGTATTATTTATTTCACGTTATTCTAATCCTAATAAATTTATTAATATTATTTATACATTTTGTGCTGGAAATGAAAATTATATTAATAAAGCCTATAATATAAAGAGAGATGGATTTTAATATCAACTTATTTTGTACAAAAAGGTGGTGGCACAGAAACGTCAACTGTCATATTAATTTGATTAATAATGAGTTGTAATTTCGTAAACAAGACTTATGTCATTTTCATCAGAAGCATTATTTTCTTTAAATCATCGTTTAAGTTATTATTGTTCGATGTTAAAATGTAAATATCTGTGTTTTTACCATCTCCTGCAGCAAAATTCTTTCTTTATGTGGAATTAAATTTAGCATTTTTATAAAATTACATTCTTGATAATATTAAGAGTAAAGTTAAAAAACTTTAAATATAATCAAGTAATTGTATATTAGATAAAGTTTTAAAAAAAAATGCTTAATTCAAGGCTACAATAAATTCAATAAACAAAATGAGGATATCAATATTCATGATGATGAACTATATAATTTATTATAGTCGGTTTGTCAAAGTTATTTGATCGACCGTTAACCATAACCTTTCACTTTACGTAGATTCAAGTCTTTGGAAAATTTTATCTTTTTTTTTTTTTTTTTATTAACGGAAGTTTATCTCTTCGATCTTAAGATAAATCTTGCGGAGGGATCTTCCTAGGAAGAAAGAGGATAAAAAACAAAATTTATTTATACCCGAAATTATTCTTCGGTCCAAGGGTCTTAAATTTAAGAAAGAAAATTAAATAAAATAGCATTTTCATAGGATGTGAATCTGAAGAAACTATTCAGATTTTATGTTGCGTTGACAAAATCGAATTAAAATGGGACAATTATTAAATTTAAGAGAGAACAAGAGTTTATATTATAATTATGGAGGAGATTAAAGCTCAGTTTAACAAATTGTTTTCTAATAATAAATACTCGAGGTATTGAAATATTTTCAATAATTCCTTCCATTAATCAATTATTTATTAAAGAATTACTTGAAAAACGTTACAGCATTAACCAAATTTTGCTTATTGATTCATTTTTGCGTTCAAAGAGAATAGATAATTTAAAACATGATCATTCGAAAGTAAGTTTAATAAGATTATACATCTAATACCAATTCTTAATTCTATAATTCTATAACTCAAGAAGATATGAGCAAGACGTCCTAGATTTAAAGACTTCGATACGAAATTTCACGCACAAGCTAAGCATACTGATCACTTCAAGAAGGTTATCAAACAATAATATTTTATATACGATTAATATTTTCATTCTATTGTATTCAAGAATTCAAAACTTTTTAGAAAACTTGCAACTTCAAAGGCAATTGTTATTGAGATTGTCTTCGAAAAAATGAGAGTATCAGACTATACAGAACGGAGTTGGACATGAATCAATTGCGTCAAGGTATTGACAAAGTGACTCTTGTTGTAATAAAGTTTATGAATGTATCAAAGGCGTTATGAATAATTACCCGTTATAATGCTATATGCACATTTTTAATAAACACGCATGAAAATTGCATTATAGATTTATTAGTGTTACCGATGCCGGTGGTGATATTAATTTTCACATCCAAAAGAAATAATCAAAAACTGAAATTGTATATTTATTCGATTTTGAATTTATATAATAGTAGAAAAGGTTACGACAAGCATCGGAATCGAAAACCCGCCATCGAAACCCATCGAAATCGAAAGGTTCCGTCTTTTGCCAAAGTGGGATTTGGATTTCCCCGCAATCTTAATTGTAGAAATTTATTAAATAATACATGTAAAATATTTTAAGTATTCTCAATAATACACTTCAAAATACATGAGATAATATAGAAATTAGGTAATTTTTTATATTAATAATATTTTTTAATCAAAGAAATCAATATAGAACTACCAAATTATTGGAGAAAATAATTAAATAATAAATGAAAAGATTGAAGAATTATTGACGAGGCAAAAGACCATTGAAGAACGGTTTGACAAAATGGAGATAAATCATGAACAATAAAAATTAACGAAAGTAATAAAACTTTTATATTTATATTATATTTATTATTATTATTTTACTATTATTTACCATAAATATTTTATTTTATTTAGGACATTATAAATGTAGTCGTAAAATTATTTTTTAATGAATTAATCCAGATAAAGATAAAATTTATGATGCTACGGTAATTACATGGCCGAAATCTATAGTGAAAATTTAAGCGAAATCCGCTGTGGTTTTCTATAATAAAAATATATCTCAACAGATAATATTAGAACATTTTTGCTTTAATTATTAACAAATAAATTTACATTTTATTTAATGTACAAACATAGAAGTCTTTGATTTCTAGAACAAAGGACGTTTTGATTTAGATTTTCGGGGAAGTCAATCTGTCCCAATAAGAAAAATGAAAGCTCCAAATAAATACATAGGTGAAAAGCAATGACTTCTGTGAAGCAGTGCTTCGAAAAATTAAGGGAACCAATTATGGAAAACCACCGGGACAGCCCGCCGTGTCCTAGAAATACTTTGGCCGGATACAAGAATAGCATCAATTTATATTAGATCCAGTCAATGTAAATATTCAAATTACGATAAAGTTATAAGGAATTTGATAAGTATTACAAAGTTTTAAGTTTTAAGTAATGTTAGATATAAAGAGCCATAAAGAAAATTACCAAGAATTCAACTAGTAACAGATTAAATATCCAATTCAATTCCTCATATTTCTATACTTTTTTTTTGGCAGTCTCTATTTTACTAAATGTAAGCGCAAATTCGATAGAACCTGAATTCCATATTTCCACGTTAACGTTCTATCTTGTATAGCTTTGACATTAAGATCATACGCGATGCCGTCTCGAACGAATGCTTGTAATGTTCCTTTACGACTTTAAAACTGTGATGTGCTGTAGTATCGGCTGATGGAAATGAATAGAATGTAACGATTATAAAGCATGATAATTAATATACATACGCTCTGTTGTAAATTCGATGTTACTTAAATTAAGGGAAACCAATAATCCTGCGTTATATACCGATCTTGGTTGGTTATGACAACATATTTGAGAACAAATTTATGTTTTTCTAAAATGAAGAAAAAAAAAATTTATTGAAAATTATTATTCACGTACATACTCAGGATACAGGAACAACTTGTTCAGGAAATTTGATAATAGGTCGTCGTTTCTCAAAAGTCTCTTTGATCATTTGAGTCAAATAATCTACAATGGCTTGTTTATAACTTTATTGGGACGAGTAACCAAGGTTATTATTCCTTTGTAATCCGATAAATGTAACTTAAATATTCTACAAGACGTGAACATTGTTCTTCCGGATCATCCAATTCTTCGTCAGGTTTTTTTCTAATGCAGAATATCCCCAAAATGTAACGTTCTAATATTCATTATCATATTGAAGTATTTCGTTGTTCCTTTTTTAGAGTACGCGAACCAGAAAAAGTAGTTCCAAAGTCTATTGCGACAAGGAATCTAACATCCCGTAGAGCCATACTTTCTCCTTATTTGAAAGAATAAAAATATTAAACAAAAATTGGAATTATTTCGAAAGGGAAATTTCTAAAATGGGTTGAAATCTTACCTTCAAAGTCATATTATAATATGACAAAGAGTCATGAGGAACGCCGCGCAATATATGTAACTTTCAAAAGATAAACAAGTTTCCTCATTTCTTAAATAATAACCATATTTCATTGTCATAGATAATCATGAAAAACAAAGGGGACCCTACATTGCTTAAATAAGAAAAGCCACGCAATATCAGCACGTCAAGCATCAAAATAAGGTTTTTTTTTTTGTAATATTGCAGGATACGTGAACATTTTCAATTTTTTTTAAAAAAAAAATAAAAATAATAAACAATTCTCAACTGGACTTAATTTATTATTATTTTTTTTTTTTACATCCACAACCGTTCTCAAAAAGAGAAGAATAAAATTACAGAGTTAACGCAAAATAAATTATATACTTTAAAAACAGTCTGTGGAAGTGGTTGGCTTCCTTGCAAAAGATTTTTAATTTTATAAAAATGCAAAAAAAAAATTTTTTTTTTAAAATTGTACTTCTTTATATGAAGTTGGCGAATTCTATTACTACCGCAAAAAAAAAAATATAATAGTTGTTATATGGTTATTTATTTGTGAATTTTGTATCACATTCTCCTATATTCAAAAACTTGTTCAAAATATTTAAAATAAATAAATGTATCTAAATTCCTTCACCGTGAAAAAATATAATCGGATACGGAACATGATTTCAATAGCAAACTTCCCATATAATTACACTTCCAAAATCGACCTGAAGAGAATTTAATTATTTTCCCGAATAAATATTATTAAATTCAAGGGTCTTTAGTAATAACCTTTATTGATTTAGTAATAAATTGGGAAGTTTGCTATTACATCATTGTAGATTTATAAGATCCGTAACTCGATTTTCGCAGGCTTGTTCTTCAAGAGTTTCAACAAGGAGTATAAGACCCAATTTAAAAATGAAATAAATTCTAAAACTTTCATTAATAATAAGAACGTTTTTAATAAATAACCATTTCATTTAACACAAAATATTTTGTATAAAGGTACATAATAAAAAATCATTATAGAAATTATAGAATCAGTAATCGATTTCTTCAAAGCTGTTTATGAATATGTTTGATATTATAATTATGAATTAGTGGTCTATATGTGGTTAAGCCGCATTCGGAAGAAATTACTCTTTATATATACTTTCAGGTACGGTGGATCTTCAACTGCGCCAAATATCATACATGTTAAACATGTAATACATGTATTGTTTGATCGACTTTATAATACATGTATCGAATAGTTTACCTTTTAATATAAATATTATATAGTCCACTTTTCATTACTTATATTATTTTCGTTATATGTACAGTACTAGTTAACAATTTTATATAAATAGACCTGTAAGATGACTTTGAGTCGACAGAGTTCGAAGAGTTCGATCAGATAGTTTTCTGAATAAGTCTTGGGACTAGACTTATAACTCTACAGTTTAATAAAGTTACTATTTTACACTTTCAACTTTCTTCTTGTCTTCATCATAGGATTGATCGTGATAACCTACTACACAAGTGAATCGTGATAATAAATTATTTTATTTGTTTTTATCGTTAATTTCTCACAGGAAAGGCCTTTGAGATAATTGAGTTGTTAAGTTTATTAGTTTTGTTAGCTTGGTTTGAGACGATTCCAGGTCTAACACCGTAGATTTTATAAAAATGAACTTTACTGTGAATGAAAAATTATCGAAAACATTTATAAACATAAACATAGGATTAGGATATAATGCGATTACAGATATTTTTACTTTCATTAGATTGGATGTATAATATAAAGAGACCAAGAACTTACCCGTTATTTATATGGTTCATCCAAAAAAAATACGGATATTTTAGAGCAATATTTAATGTTATATTTAGCGTGTTCGCTTAAATCTTTTAAAGCAACGAACCAAAATTTAAAATTATCAATATTCAGGATCCGTTTTATGCAGGCTATGAGAGTAGAATCAGTGCGTTTGAATTGTATCGTAACGTACTACTATAATACTGGATAATATTATAGAGTACAGACGATTAAATTACGCGAACGATTTTCTATATTGCAAGTAAAATTTTATGAAATTATGAGCGAAAAAATTTATTAACGAATTTGTAAATTATTCAAAATAATCAATTAAAATTAATAATATTAAGTTACTTTGACAGTTAGATACTAAAAGTGAATAATAAATTACAATATTTTATATATATGTGTTGAGAATCCTTAAACAATACAACATACACGGCCCGCCCTTCTTAATATTGCATTCATATTCTTAAATCCTTCCTTTTTTCTTTTGCGATATTATCTCTTTCGCCATTTTAACCCATTAATTCTAACGTTGTAACTTCATGCTATTTTTAAATTCCGATTTCTTATTTTATTTTTATTTTTGTATTTTGCGTAGTTTTAATTAATTAGTATTTCTTTAGTAATTAGCATTTTTTAGTTTTTTAATATATTGACATTGCGAATGTGTAAAGCGCTGACGTTGAGGCAACACTAATTAATTGATACATTTAACGTCATAATTACTTCGTTTTTCTTAATTAAATCCTTCTGCTTACTCAGATTCTTTTTCTTTGAGATAGATATATATATATATTATTTAATGCTTTTCACATTTTAGCTAATTTAACATAACTTATAATTAAACATAAAAAAATAATAATCTTTGTCTATTTGTAGTAATTGAAGCGTCAACTTGCTTTTTGTTCAAGATATGTTTAAGATGTAGCATTAACTCATTTTTATTTTTCCCGGAAGGTCCTATATTATGATCACGCATGTGTTGCGGTTATATTTATATTAAGTATATCACGTGAATAATCATGTTATCCTTCACTTAATAAAGAATAACAAGGGAGATAATAATATTTACAACATTTCATAAATAAAAAATCATGTACTTAGTTGGAATATGATATGGAATTTAACGTGATCTTATTTTATGACGTATATGAATATTTAAAAGTTATTGGAACGTGTAGTTGACATTAATTTGTGATCCAGTACGTCTTTAGTTATGCTTGTGCTTCAACAAGAACGCACGTAAAATAAAAAAGCTAAGTCATAATCGTCGAGTAAACTTATGAGAGAACATAATAGATCTTTGTTTTTTTAATCTAGATAATTAATATGGCTATAGTTGCGGGGCAAAACAATTTTAGCGAATCCCTATTTTCGATTTCTCTTTGCGACGGGATTTTTAATATATATAGTTTTGATTATTTGTTTCGTTGTCGAAATTTAATGGGTTGATTTTGATTTCTAATTTGACGACTTCACCGTTTTTTATACTTATTCTGCATGAACTTAAGAATGCAAGAAAAGATCAAAATTTAACATTTACAGTTCGTGTTAAAAAAGAATTTATTATATATATTTCCAGAATCACAATCCAAACATATAATAACCAGCATATTGATTCCAGATTATAACCGCATGAAAATCTTTTTATTTCTAAAAAATCATGAGTCCATAATAACGAATTTAAAATATAAAATACAAAATCGTGATGTACAATTCTCTCTTCGTATAAACAGAAACTGCATGTTACGAATACAAATATTTTTAGTGAACCTCTCGCGTTAAAAATCGGTTCATAACTTAACAAACCACTGTTAAAAACTTGTTTATGAGATAATTACGAATATAATAAAAGTTTAATATAAAATCATTTATATATATATTAAGCTAAATTTATATTTGAATAAATTTACTCGAACTTCAACGTGATGATCTGAAAACTTCTCAAATGTACATTTATTTTTTAATTTATTAACATTTTTTTAAAAAAATAAAAGTTAGAAATCAATTGAATAATATTGGATATTGATGGAATAAGCTAATGATGATGCACTCAGAAACTATTTGAAGGATAATTTTTGAAAAGCTTATTCAAGAAGACAAATGCATCTTTACATTCCAATTGGTATGTGTTTTGTCGTGTTGAATGAAGAAATTCTTCATCATGAGTTGGTAATCTTATGAAATATATTGTGAAGGTTGTTTTAATACTTAATATAGATAATATAATTGCGTTCAGGCTATAAATAATTCGTCAAGGTAACCGATTTTGGATTGTTAAAGCGGAAACTAATAAGTCAAATGCTTTTGGAGTAATTCCTTATTAATCCAAAAAGTTTAATAGAACAACAAATGATAAATTTTCGCGCTACAAACTAAATGAAAAAGTGATGTTACAATATTACCATAATTTTTTAATCAATATCGAATTCTAATGCTTTAGAAACATAATCTATATATAATAAATACAATTAGTTTGTGCTTACAGTAAATATCATTAATTTTAATTATAAGTGTTTACTTACTATTATTAAATTTCTTATTCGCTTCGTTTTCATTGAATTTGTTATTTTTAGTATTCTTATCTAAAAAAAAAAAAATTCTTTTAATAAAATATTTTAAGAATAAATTAATAAATAATTTATCTTACCATTATCACTGTCAGATTTTCTTTTATCTTTGAGACGATACATATATTAATTAATGGTTATAATAACATAAATATGATTATAAAATAAAAACTATTTACCAAAAATGCTTTGACTATTCGAACTTGTAGATTTTGTATATTTAATTAATCTACTTGCATTAGTAATTAGATTATTTGTTACTATAGGTCCGATATCCGATGATTTTATAATTTTGGTTGGATTTCTTTCTTCATTCAAAATAATATTATCATCAATTAAGAAAATAATTGCACGGGCAGTTGGTCTTCTATTTGGATTAGAATGCCAACATTGTTGCATTATTTTAATATAGCCTTCAGGTGCATTTGTATTAATCTGAGGGCGTAAACCATCACAAATTTCAATAATAAGATCTGTATCATAATTTCGATCCCAAAAAGGTCTTCTACCTGTCATTAATTCCCACATAATCATACCAAAGCTATAAAT